TTTTTTTTAACAAACCTCCATTTGTATACATCAGTGCTTACAATAAAGTCAGTGAACTGTCTTTTACGTGTTATCAACGATGAGATGAGCAATAAATTGAAACAAGATACTGGAATCTTTGAGCCTTTTTCTGTTTTCTCTACATGTCTGTCAGTTGAGGTTGCATGGTACACGGCGCAGTGGTCTGCAGTATTGGATTGATAATATAATGTTTATTGAAACCGTATCTTTAGTCACATATCTCTCTCTTTTGTATGTCCTTGCATTCTGTCCCTTGTACCACCAGCATTCACGGGAATATGACTCGCATCGACTCTCAGATAAGCCACATCTACATATTGTGCCCTTTCATGTGTTGTTTTCACAGCACAACTTCTGATTTTCCATGTCATTATGACTGACGATTCCCTGATATACACCAGATCTTGTGGTATTGATCTTCATATGCATATCTTCATATGAGTTAAATCGTGAGAGGTCAAATTCATTTTGTTTTTCCGCAAGGGAAATATCTCTTCCATCTTCAAAATTTGAAAATGCTTGTTGTGGTTTGTTTCACATTTACCGGTCAGTCGATGACAGATGTAAGCTGCATTGAAAAGGAAGCCTTTTACAATGATCTCAAGGGAATCAAGATAGGAGTGAACATTGGGTTTGCCAAATTGGTGCCTAAGGACAACCTGAGAAAGTTTTCTGATATAATTGTTTTCGACAGTCACAGTGACACACACGGCTAACTGCAAATGTGCCCAGAATATGTTAAAATATAAATAGCATGGAATGAGTTTTTGTTGGCAGGATGTTTACAGATTTGATAGCCCTAAATCATTTTATAGGTATGACATTTTGTGAACACAAAGTTTATTTGTGTTTTACAAATCTCATTCATACTTTCTCGGTGACATTTAATTGATCAATCATTGAATATTCTACCTGCTCAATCTGGAATAGTTGTTTTTCTTTTCTAACTTCAGAATACAGACAATTTAATACATTGTTCGACATAATTTTATCTGTTACCGTAACTCCATAAGTTATTTTGCGGTATTGCACTGGGTATTTTCATCCTACCATAATAGAACATGCGTGTGAGCGTCTTCTAATAATAAAAAAACAAACATGGCAGCATCAAGGGTTTGACCGGACTCCACACAAAGAAGTTCACCAAAACTGTTCTAAATTGTTTGGAATTCACAACAAAGTATGCACCTAGGCAGTAAGCTGTCGCATCAACCTTAACTGTGCGTTGGTCGATAAATGAAAATTAGGTTCAGCTCTATCAATGTTGTGGTCTTCCACTGAAAACCTAACGACTTACACACAACTATTTTTGAGAGTACTGACAAAGATATCAAATTGTTTCGAAGTATCATTGCTAGTTTTCTTAATACAATCTTACTAAATGAAATAGACAAAATTGTAGCTTAGTATACTTAGTATACTACTTTCTTGTTGGCTTCATAATACGATGTAATTCAGGGTCCGC